AGGGAGCCCGATGCGGGACTCGATCCAGGGACTCCAGGATCATGACCTGAGCTGAAGGCAGTCGCCCAACCAACTGAGCCACCCAGGCGCCCCAATTTATATAAATTTTTATAAAATGAAATGCACACATTAGCCATGATTTTGACAAATATTTATGCTCACTATAATCAAGATACGGAAAATTTCCATTATCCCCCAAACTTCTTTTGCTGTCAAATCTCCTCCCCTGCACCCAGCCCTAGGCAACCGCTGATCTATTTTTGTCACAATGGATTCGTTTTGCCTGTTCTAGAATTTCATATAAATGGAATCATACAGTGTAGTCTTTTGTGTTTGGCTTTCCCCCCGTCAGCATGATGTTTTTGAGGTTCACCCATGTCTTTGTGTGTATCAATAGTTGTTCCTTTTTATTGCTGAGTAGCATTCCATTGTATGGTTGTATCACATTTACTTACCCATTTACCTGTTGATGGACATTTGGGTTCTTTCCAGACTTGGGCTATTCGGAAAAACCATTCCTGTATAAGTCATTTTGTGAATACATGCTTTCATTTCTCTTGGTAAATATCTAGGTAAGCAGTTTTCCAAAGCATTTGTATATTTTGCAATTCCACCAGCAATACGTTGCTCCACATCTTTGTAAAAACTTAGCATTGCCAGTCTTTTCAACTGTAGGCATGCTAGTGGTTGTGAAGTCCTAACTCACATTTGAGAGAGCGAGCGAGCGAGAGCGAGCAGGTGGAGGGGCAGAAGGTAATTATAGATTCACGTGTAGTTGAAGGAAATAACCAATGTACCTTTCACCCAGTTTCCTCCAATGGAAACATCTTGCAAAACTATAGTACAATAGCCTAAGCAAGTAATTGACATTGGTAGAGTCAAGATACAGAACATTTTCCTCAGGGCAAGAATCCCTCTTGCCCTTTTCTGGCTGGGCCCACTTGCTTACCAACCCCACCCCCTCCTTAACTCCTAGCAACCACTAATCTGGTTTCCGTTTCTGTAATTTTGTCATTTCAAGAATATTATATGTATGGAGTCATGCAGTATGTAATTTGGGGGGATTTTTTTTTTCACTCAGCATATTTCTCTGGAGATTTGTTCAAGTTGTTGCAAGTATCAACAGCTTTTTTCTTTTTGTTGTAGAGTAATGGTTGCATGGTATGGATGGGCCACAGTGTATTTAACCATTCATTTGATGAAAGACATCTGGCTTGTTTCCAATTTTAAGCTCTTACGAATAAGGCTGCTTTGAACCTTTGTTTACAGGTAACTGTGTGAACAGAAGTTTTATTTCTCTGGGATGAATGCCCAGGAGTGAAACTAATGAGTCGAATGGGAGTTGTTTGCTTTTGTTTTGTTTTGTTTTTAAGAGACTTGTCAATCTGTTTTTCAGAGTGGCTGTGCCGTTTTATAATCCAATCAGCAATATAGGAGTGATCCAGTTTCCTGCATGTTTTTTTTTTCAGTTTCCCCACATTTGTGCCAGCATTTAGTATTGTCATTGTCGTTATTTTTGTAATTCTTATTTCTTAATAATGAATGAGGTTGAATTTCTTTTCAATGTGCTTGAATTTCTTTTCAATGTGCTTTTTTGCCATCTGTATATCCTCTTCAGTAAAATGTCTCTTTATGTCTTTTGCCCATTTCCTGATTGGACTTTTTTTTTTTTTAAGATTTTTATTTATTTATTTGACAGAG